TTGTTTAAGAACTAAATTCTTTATCATTGTTCAATTCTATTGAGTGGTGAACGTTGGTTGTGCATATTTTCATGCTTGACCAAATCCTCTTATTTGAGCAAACTTCTCTTGTTTGAATTTGAACTGTTATCTCTTTTCTTGTTTAAATCTTATGCTTGAGTAAATCCCCTTGTTTAAGCAAATTTATCTTGTTTTCAATGAGAGACATACTTTGCTTGAGGACAAGCAAAAATCTAGTTGGGGAGAGTTTGTTAAGTTGAAACTTTGACTTAAAATGAACCATCTTTCTTGGAACTTTTCCACTAAATTCTCATGTTTTCATAGTTTTATTTCATATTCTTTAGTGATTCTTCAATTATATTGCAAATACCTTTGGATTCCTTGATGTGTGTGTTATTGTGCAGCAATTAGACATAAAACATCAATGAGTAAGACACAAAAGATTGGACAAGGAAGCCAAAGAAATGTGAAGATTCTACAATGTTCGCTTGGCGAATAGTAGCGAGCAACTAGTGAATGTTCCCTGTGCGAAGTTGCAGCAAGGTCCTAGCGAGGAGGAAACCTTGGAAGTCAGTAGCTAAAGGACCCAAAGTTTATTGTGCGAACTTGTAGCGATGTAGTTCGCAGAGCGAAGAATTGCTCGTACAAACTCATATATTTTCCAAGGGAGGTTTAACAGTTCTTGAGGCACTTCAATTGCCTCAAAGTAAACTCCGTTGGGCGAATAGGTAGTTCCCAGTGCAAACATGACAGATTTTGTAAATACTATATAAGTATTTTTCTTGCTTTTTAGAAACAAATGTTATATTTTTGGGATCAAAACTTTATCTCTCTTCATTTCAAGCTTATTTTAGAGAGAGAAATACAAACCCTAAGAGGGAGAAGGTTAGATCTTCAATCTCTTGTTGGGTTTAGATGTAATATTTTGTTCCCTTATGTATTTCATCTAATGTATGTATGTGAGCTATTGTTGATTGTCTTTGATTTCTTATTTGTGAGTCTTGACAAAACCTTTTCAAATCTTTGATCTAAGATTTTCATCTATCAATGAGCAAACTTTTGACATGGTTTTGTAAGTTGATATTCATTTGCATTATAGTGTGTTGATCGGTAGCATGAGTAGGATCAACACGGTAGAGACCATGATAACGTTCTTGACACAAACGGTATTGTAAGGATGCATGATAATAGAGATGAGAAACTTGTTCACATACATTTGGAAAATTAAATGAATGCATGTAAAAAGGGTTAAGCGTATGTATGTATTTTGATCATGGCGTTATATATGAATCAAATCATTAGTTTGATATGGATGTTATAGTAATATTTGTTGGGTCTAAACTCTAGACATGGACTTAGGTTGAACATTCACGTGAGTATAAGTTCTTAATGCTCTGTGTTCGTTTTGTTGTGTGAGACATCACGGATGAGACAATACGGTTTACCTTTCGAATTTGTGTTAGACATAACCTCTATTGTGGGTGATATGTGATGATATTAAACAAAATTTTGAGTTTTGTATAACATGGTTAGAAGAATGCATGTGGTATCAATTGATGAGATCCACTACCAACAAGGCTTCGTTTATAATTCAGTTTTTACTTTATATTTTTTGTCTTTATATTTTATGCCTTTATTTTTGGTTCCTTGAACCGTTTAACCAAAAATTTTGCACCATAAGCTTAGAAATGTAGAAATCGTTGAACAGTAATTTTTTCCCTTGCACCGATCCCTATGGAGACGATATAAATCCCAGAGGAAATTCCTTTAAAACTAACTTTTTCCTTCTTTCCGCTTTACTGCAGTTCAACAAACATGTAAATTGCACAGTTTATTTGGCTCGATTTGTACTAGTTTTTGGATTGAATTCATGGATTATGTAGTGTTATGTTGGTTTCTTGTTGTGAATTTCAGGTGTCGATCATGTAGAAGTATCTACCATGAAAAAAAATAAAAAAATAATTGGTGAAAACAAAGAATCAATGAGCATTTCAGGATGTCATGATGGGCTTTGTCCAACCATGACGCCCATTATGGGGTAACAAGCAATGGCCGTCGTGAAGACCGTCATCTAGAGCAATGGAGTTTTGATCAAAGAGCATGATGTGATGGTCATCACCTGAGTGACCATGTCATACTCATGATATACAGAACGTCATCATCTGAGTGACCATGTCATACTCATGATATACTCATGTTATACCAATTCCATCACGAGTTTTAGTCTATAAATAAGACTTTAGTTTACAATTTTGATCATCATAGCTTTGTCTGAGCATTAAATTTCACTTGTAAAAGTATAACCAACTTATATCGAGGTGTTTATGCACTTTAAATTATGCATATTTTATAGTTCTTGGTTGTTGAATTTTCAATTTCTTATAAGTTGTTTATGTATTGTTGCAAGTTTCAATTGTTGTTGTTGCATTTTATTTTGATGTATCAGATAAAGTCTTCCCTTTTGAGAAATTTTATGATTTAATCACTAGATTCTTTCATTCTGTTATGAGATCAATCCAAATAAGGAACTTAATAATATCAATTAGCATAAGTAAGGGTAGAAAGGACCAAGTTGATGGGGTTAAACAAGAAGAAAAATGTTGCTTTAAAGAAAGGCTCCAAGAATTAGACTTAAAAAGATTTGTATTCAAGGGTTGATTTGAAACATTTATATTAGGAGGATAAAATAAGATTAGAGGAACCATTCGCATATGAAGAAATTAGAGAACCTGTTTAGAATAGTGATGGAAATAAAAACCCAGGGCTTGATGGATTCAACTTTGATTACCTTAAAAAGTGTCAGAAATTAGTGAAGGAAAACATTGTGAAGTTTGTGAATGAATTTCATACAAATGCAAAGTTTCCAAAGCCGACCACAACTTCATTTCTAACATTGGTCCAAAAAAACCCTCAAGCATTTGGTTTGTGTGTAAATTTCTATAAAAGCATGTTCTATGGAAAAAATGTGAAAAAAATTCTTTCTACAGGCGGTTTCAACCTCTATGTATTTTTGTGTGGACGAATTATCATTCAAATTTCTAGGGGTGTCGGTTGGGTCGAATCTAGGAAGGAGTTATATGTGGTGTATGCTCATTGAAAGGTTGAGAAAGAAGTTGTCATCATGGAATGGCATTAACTTATCTATAGGAGGGAGAGTTGTGATTTTGAACTGAACTCAATCCTTAGTAACATCCCAATTTACTTCCTATCTTTATATAAAGTGCCAGTAAATGTATGGCAAGAGATCATTAAAATTCAAAGGAACTTCTTAGGGGTGGCTTATAGCAAAGAAATAAAATTAATTGGGTCAATTAGTCTAACATTTTCAAATCAAAAGAGGATGGAGAATTATGGGTGAAAAATATTGAGGCCTTTAATAGGGCCCAAATATGCAAATGGAAATGGAGGATACTAATGGAGAAAGAAGCATTGTGGTCAGGAGTACTAAAGCAGAAATAAGGGAATATTGAGTTAAAGTTGCTTAATAAGGAAGACAACCCAAGAAGTGGAAAATTAATTTGGTGGAGAGATCTTAAACAAACATGAGACTATTTGGTGATGGAGAGAGACTAATACTTAAGCAACATTTCATGAATGATTGGAGATGGTAGTGGCATACCATTTTGGACGGGTAAGTGGTTTGGTAATCAACCTCAAATGGATGTTTCCTTGAGTTGTTCTTATTATCTAGTAAACCTAATGGTAGTATGACAGAAATAGAGTGTTGGATTGGTGAGGAGTGGATATGGAATATTCATCTGTACGAGGAAGAAATATCAGTAAAAATAGTGAAATAGGTGAAATAGATACATATCATTCTATTAAAAGTGGTTCCTAGAATAGGTTAAAAGGACGTGTTCGTGTGGATCCTTAAATGTTCCAAAACCTTCTATGTCAACTCATGTTACAAATTAATTGCATGGACTAATTCAAATATCTCACTAGAGATAGGCTAGAAAGCTACCTTAAGAGAAATTTGGAGAGGAAAGGTCTCGTCTAAAGTCCAAGAGTTGAAATGGAGGCTTCTACTGGACAAACATCCTACGAGGGCTCAGTTGGCTAAAAGTGGAATTCTTCAAAGTAGTAGGAATAAGGTATGTGTTTTTTGTTTCAAAGAGGAGGAGAACTTAACACATCTCTTATTCCAATGTTCTTTTATTGCAGGTGTATGGAGGACGGTGGATGGATAGTTTGGTATCTCTGTGCCTAATGGTCAAGCCAGTTGAGAGAGTTTCAATCAACATAAAAGAGGATTGAAAAAGAAAACTGAAAAAAAACAAAGAGGGGATATTATAACTAACAATATGTTGTGCATTTGGTTATAGAAGAACAACCTTCTATTTAATGGTGAAGTGGAAAGTGGAAGGAGTGTTGTTTAGTATCAAACCAACAACTTGCTTTTGATCATGTAACATAGGTTAAATCAAATGTATGTAGCAATTTTTATGAATGGTGTATAACCCCTTACAATTTCATTAATATAAGAGGTAACATTATAATATAATGGCAAGAGTGCCCCTTATAATTTACTTATAAAAAAGTTAATATGTAAAAAAAAATCTGATTAAAAGGACCTAAGTGGCCAGTAAAATATGTTTTTAAAGTAATTAAAATATCATTTGTTGTCTAAAAAGAAGAAGAAAAACTCCAATATTTTGAACAAATTCGTACCCCCCACGTGCCTCGGTTGAGCAGAACCATTTGTTTTGGTTAAAATACAATGAATTTCATCAAATGACAATACTCAACGTCGATTCAAGTTGTCTTTTATGGGGTCCCTTCCCCTCGTGAAACTAGTACGACAGCATCTTTCCCGTACTCCTCCTATATGGACCTTTGTTTTATTCAGTCAGTATTTTCACCTTAGACAATGTTTCTTGACCATTCATTGCAACCACAAGCCTTCGCTATTCATCATATCATTATTCATTATACTATATCTATCTATCTATAAATAAATCTTAACCTTACCACACTTTCATCTCACAACAACAACAACAATGAACTCTCTTGCAAAGACCTCTTTGTTCAGTGTTCTACTTCTGTTTGGAGTGTTACCTTTCTCCTCAAATGCACAACTCGATCCATCCTTTTACAAAACCACTTGTCCAAATGTTAGTTCCATTGTTCGTCAAGTCATAAGAGATGTTTCCAAGACAGATACTCGTATGCTTGCTAGTCTCGTCAGGCTTCACTTCCATGACTGCTTTGTTCAAGTATGTACACTATCTTACTTCTTCATATTCATCATTCACCATGCTTTTTATGAAGCTTTTGTTCTAACAATATTTTTCATCACTGTTACAGGGTTGTGATGCATCAGTTTTGTTGAACACAACTGATACCATTGTCACAGAACAGGATGCTTTTCCAAATCTTAACTCTTTAAGAGGTTTAGATGTTGTCAACAAAATCAAAACCGCTGTAGAAAGTGTTTGTCCCAACACTGTTTCTTGCGCTGATATTCTTGCCCTTGCAGCTGAATTATCATCTACCCTGGTATATTTGCACCGACCCTTATGATTACGTTTAACTTATTTTTTTAAATTATTATCGATGTTGTCATGTCAGTGTCAGGTCTCTTTCGAGGCGTCAGTGCTGCATAGTATATTATATAGTATTTACTAATTTTGTTTTTTGGTTTTGTCATGTTATGTAATAATACAGGCTCAAGGTCCCGATTGGAAAGTTCCATTAGGAAGAAGAGATAGTTTAACAGCGAATCAATCACTTGCTAATGAAAACCTTCCATCTCCATTCAGCTCATTAGATCAACTTAAAGCAGCATTTGCCAAACATGGCCTTAATACTACTGATCTAGTTGCTCTTTCTGGTGCTCATACCTTTGGAAGAGCTCGTTGCTTTTTATTTGATAGCAGATTATACAACTTCAGCAATACTGGAAGTCCTGATCCAACTCTTAACACAACTTACTTACAAGAATTGCGCAATATATGTCCCAATGGTGGATCGGGGACAAACCTCGCTAACTTTGATCCAACGACTGCGGATAAATTTGATAAGAACTATTACTCTAATCTGCAAGGTAAAAAGGGTTTGCTTCAAAGTGATCAAGAGTTGTTCTCAACATCTGGTGCAGATACTATTAGCATTGTCAACAAGTTCAGTGCTGATCAAAAAGCTTTTTTTGAGAGCTTTAAGGCTGCAATGATTAAGATGGGTAATATTGGTGTGTTGACTGGGAAACAAGGAGAGATTAGAAAACAGTGCAACTTTGTTAATTCAAAATCAGCAGAACTTGGTCTTATCAATGTGGCTTCTACAGATTCATCAGAGGAGGGTATGGTTAGCTCAATGTAAATGTAGTGGAGGAAACTAATAAAGATGTTGTAATTGGGCACATTCATGTTGTGTGTCTTGGAGTTATTATTATTATTATTATGTACTCTGTGAGCGAAAATCTTTGTGTATTTGAAGTGTTTTGATGTATATCGCAAATGTACTATGTAACGGTGTAGTAAAATATGAATGTTTTCTTAGGGACTATATTTGTAGTAACATATGATTGATTAGGTTGATTTGAGATATTTTAATTGATTAAAATTATGATAATAGATAGTCTAAGGATGACCGATCATGTAAACCTATTTTTTAAACTATGTTATGAGAACTTTTAGATTGAGAAATTTAAATAGATAAATGTGACTTATTTCTTTTTAAAGTATATAACCGTATCTTAAATCAACCAACCATTTATTTTGTTGGTTGATCTATTTGCTCAAGATCTATTAAGAAAAACTATTTTCAGAAATATTGAATATTCTTGATTAAGCCAAGGTCATTTTCATGTTTTAGATTAACCATCTGGGCTCAACACTCATACACTGTCTATCAGAACTTGGTGAAGAAACTAATCACTTAATTTGCTGCAAGCAGACACAGAAGATGGCAACCACCAGTTTATTTAACATTCACTAACGCCCATCTGAATCCTTGAGGGAATACCTCACCCGCTTCAACGAGTCAACAATCAAGGTGATCCATCCAAACTAGAAAATGTTCTTAGGAGCATTTCACAATTGGCTCAGGGCGGGACACTTCAATGAATCCCTCATCTAGAGGCCAACGACGTTCTTGGCTGAAGTGGTGACACGGGCAGAATGTTATAACAAGGGCGGGGAAAAGAATGTTGAAAAGAAGTCCTGAGATACAAAAGAGGGAACCTCCCATGCAAATAGCTCATAACACTCACGAAGGAGTTAATACACATCTTCCGTGAGAGACAGAATGTCACTCAAGATAAGTTGAAAATTCATCTAAAGCTTCATAGCTCATAAAACACACGAGAAATAGATATGGTGAGAAGTCATCCATATGCATAACATCCAAAAATTGTCAGCTCCAAAGGCAAACATCACGAGGCCTAAGCCTAACAATTGTTGTAAGTTCCATTAAGGCAATATACATCATACTGAGGACTGCTATCAGCTCAAGAATGAGATAAAATGTCTGGTCTAGAAGGGTGGCATCTAAAGAAGTACGTCAAGGGTGGCTGCGCTCGAGCGTCAGGAGACTCTAACTTGCAGGGGGGAGATGCCTTAGGAAGTCCATGATCCAATAAAAGAAAGGAATCAAGCAAGGGAAACAACGACAAATATGTTCACCTTACTATCTGTTTTGCCAAAAAACCATAATTGATCGATGATCGAAGGTTTGGATTGGCAATGGTGGACTTGGGCTTCTGGTGCAGTGAATAAGGTGCTGACCTGCAAAGTTATCACTCTAACGCCAAGTCAATATGAGAATAAGACGGGTGAATGAATTTTGAATTCGAACCGTATTTGAGAAATGACGCCTGCCCTTTTATATAGTAGGGTAGTTATAACAACTTGTTAATTTTTAGGTGTGGAATGTAGGGATCCTTATGATGGATCTTGGATTTAGATCACATGAACTCTAGACTAGGAGTGACACGGTGGATTAATATGTTTTTAGGGCCGTAGCTATTGGTCCTTCTGGCCGATCCAAAACACTCCCAATACCATTGTAGAAGGATTTGTTAAGGTGGAGAGACCAATTCCACCCTTAAGAGGTACGATTACATATCATAACCATTCAAGGTTCACCCACTATTTGTGATTTAGGCAAATTAGAAGCCCCGAAAGCCGATATTGCCGTTTTGGAGGAAGACACTGCAGACGTCCACCACATAACGATGATCCCATGGTCATGATTGTAAGATGTGATAATTGGGAGATAAAAATGGTCTTGATTGATCAAGGAAGTTCTACAAACATCCTATAATAGGATGCATTTGAGAGGCTTTACCTAGACTTAAATGATCGCAAGCCCTTCCAAGGATTGTTGGTGGGCTTTTCGAGCGAAAAAGTTCAGATGAAGGGCTATATAACATTGAACACTATTTTTTAGAGCTGAAGAAAACGCCTGGAACATTATGGTAATATATCTAGTCATTATGTGTCTTCCTCATATAACATCATTATAAGTCGGCTCTCCTTTAACTATTTAGGAACTTCCCTATCTACGTTGTGTCGCTTCCGCGAAAATAAGGTGCCGGCAAAACAGAAGAGTCGCCACCTTTCGTTATTTATCCCTCGGAGCGGGAAAGGAAACGATCGGAAAAACCTGACGAAAAGGTATAAGACAAGGTCATCGCAACCATTGTCTGGGTTCGGGAGTCGGTTACGCAAGGGGAAGGTATTAGCACCCCTCACGTCCGTCGTACTCGACGGGATCCACGCTTGTTGTGTTTACTGGACGAGTTGGTTTATCTATCTACCTATCAAGGCTGGCTTAAACAGAAAAGAAAATGACTCGGCAAAGCGTCGCATTTTATGCCTACGTATTCTCATCAGAGAACGAGAAATCAGAGTCAACGTAGTTCGACCTACTACGGGTTACGGGGAAGGTGGCTCGCCAATACATCAGTACTGTGCCTACATACTCTCAACAGATATGAGAGATCAGAGCTTACGTAGTTCGGGATACTACGGATTACGGGGATTCAGATTCATCTGTTTTATTGAGTAGGGTTAAACAACAGTTCCAGCAGTTAGGGACAAAGCCTGTTTGCGGTGGCGCTGAAGTTTAACGACACTCTTTTCTTCAGAAAAGCCTCCTTTGAATTACGGGCCCACGGGGCAAAAAGGTTTGAAGTTTGTTTTCTGTCTTTTACGGAAGAACTGTCTTTTATTGTGTTTGCAATTTCAATCGCACTAAAGACTATGACCTGAGAGTGAATGCGTCGCATGTCACCCAAAGGGTGCCATACTAATCATCCAGACTGTTGAAAAGAAGCTCTCCAACAATCCTTTCTCAGATAGCTTAAGGCTCGTAACGTACGATAGAAATCATTCATGATTACTGTATTTTAAGCTGTTTTGAGATGAGAAGAGAACAGGCTCAACTACGGGGAGACTATCAAGTCCTACTGTTGTCATGCCAAGGATTCATCCTATAGTTGAAGTTTGAAACAGGGAACTCCTAGAAGCTATCATGCATAGGTTTCAACCTAAAGTTCTATCATCACTTCCTTATCAAAGGAAGTGAGATTCCTAGGGGATCATGTCAATGATAAACAAAAACAGATAAAGCATCAGCTTAAACAGTAAACAGATATACAACTGTAAAATGCATGCAATGCAAGTGAGGGAGGAAATGTGTGTGGGGCAGCAGCCTCCACAAGCTCATTTCAACCTCAAGCCATATATGAATAACTGCAATCATACAGAAGAAATAACATGCTATCAAGCAAGATATAAGTGACTGTAATCATACAGAAGAAATAAAATAAAATGCTATCAAGCAAGATAAACCACATGGGCAAGGGAGCTGGGCTCTACCGAATACCCGCAAGCAAAGCCATACAGTAACAATACAAGCAGAGGGAGCAACTCAACCTCTAGTGCAATCATGCTCCTAGATTAAAGTTAGTCTAGATATGAACTTATTCTAATGCATCAAGCAAGTCAAACAAGGCACATCAGCACAGAAAAGAAAACAGACAAGAAAGCAGATCAACAACTCCCTCTCTTTTCCCAATCCCAAGCTTCAGCTCTTATGTCCATTCCACCTTCAGGCTTTGCTTCTAACTACAAGTATCAACTTGATTCCTTCAGGCTCTCCAAGCATTAATGCAAGTGTCAACTTATCCTTTATTCCTCAAGCCTCAGCTCTACACTCAATCTCAATTGAATCCTTTTGATAAGTATCAACTCAGTCTCCAAGCTTCAGCTCTCTTTGCTTCACCAGTATCAACTTGGTCTTCCTCATCTACAAGCTTCAGCTGCTCAGAGTAATATTCAATCACCTGGAAGTGTCAACTTCATCCTTCAGTCTTCAAGCCTCAGCTCTTCACTCAATCTTCATTTGGGTCTTCAAGTATCAACTTGTTCTTCTTGCCCTTCAAGCTTCAGCTACAATGGCAATGCTCAAGGAATCATCCTCTTCCACACTCTTCAATGAAGTCCTCATCTTCAGACTCAAGTCCAACATCTTTCAAGCTACTCAGCCCAGAAGACAATTGATTTAACAGGATGAGTGGAAATGATAAACAGCTTACTGACAACCAAAGGAAGCCTGTAAGGGTTCATCATTATGAGAGACTGGTTCCCTCAAAGTTCTACTTCCTAGATAAAGCCACTCATCCCTCCAAAGGAGGGATGTGAATATCTTGGAAGGACTTTTAGTCATTGGGAGGAGTGGAAGCACAAGATGCTTTCCATATTTGTGAAAGAAGTCATTCTAATCATAAGGCTCTCCCTATGTCCTCTATCTCCTAAATCTTCATCAAACACCTTCAGGCACAAGCAACTCCAAGCAACTTCAAGCATCCTCACCTTGTCTTCAACTTGTCTTCAATCTCAACCAAAGGCAAACAAAGCAAGACCCTAATCTAAGGGAGCTAAATGAGTTAAACTAGTTGAATTAGTAAGTTAGGATCACCTAACACCTATTACTAAAGTTAGTCCTAACTAAAATACTAAAACCAATTATAAAATCCTACAAAAATTACTATGGGAACCTAGGTCAATCATGACTCTACCACATTAATTCCAGAGATCAAATCATCAAATTAGACCTAGAACTAAATTCTACATTATGAGGTACTAACCCTAAACCCTAAAAGGAAGCATCTAAATCTCAATCTAGAAAGCACACCAATTTTCATCACAAAAATGTGATAAAAATGCTATGGGATCATACATGTCTAACCTAATCATACACAAAAAATTAGGATCAAAATCATCACCATATGATCACACAAAATTATGTATCAAACATAACCATTTTAATATCAATTAAAATATAAAATCCCATAGAAATCAGAAATTACATGA